GGGGGAGGGGTAAAAGGAGGCCCGGAGGGAGGGAGGGGGTGGGGGGCAACCCCTTCTGTCAAACAGTTTATCATCGGCAGCCAAGTCTGACCCCTCACCCCCCCCCCTCTGTTTCTCACCTCCACCTCCCCCGTTACACAACAAATATCCTGGTTCCCCTCCGATTTGAAGTGTAATTGTTCAGTGGAGGAGAAAAACAAAAGGAAAGGAGAGAGGGAGGGGGCAGAGGGAGAGAGAGGGAGATAGAGTAAAAGGCACACAATTGTCCCTGGTGCAACGTAGGAAACGTCTAGTCCCTAGTGAGCCTCCTAGACAGGCAGCCCAGCCGCCTGCAGTCTTGCAGCCCCGTCGGTAACTGGGTCAGACGGGCAGAGGGCTCAAGTCTGTCTGCCATTTCATTACCGTTTCCCACCCAGCTTTCCTCGTCCGAACCGTGCGACGTCTTATGGGAATCCCGACCAGACTGCTCTGTCAAATTCTATATACGAGTGGCGCACGTAAGGTGCCCAACTCTGAATTATTTTTTTTATCATCTTTTAAAGGGGAAGCAGTTGCAATTTGTCGCTGAAAAGAACTCGTCGCGGAGCCGCTGAAAGCTCCAGCAGGCCCTGCCACATCACGACCATAGCCTCGAAGGGGAAATGGACAAAGAACAAGAAGTCACTGGCCTTATGTAACGCTCGACAAAAGGGCTCTGGAACGGTTGTTCGGGGACCGGCATTACTACAGGCGCTGCTAGTGCTAGCACCCGCCCGCGGCAGATGTGGGTGAACCCATCCCACCTTGGCATGGAACAGGCCGTTAGGAGGTCTCATGACTCTGACTGGGTTGTGCACCGCTGGCAAACTATTTTTTTTTAAGTACACAAAGTGGTAACGTACCCACGAGGAAGAAACGGAGAAAAACGGATAGGGGAATTAACCCCCACTCTCCAAGCGATTTAGAGTGCAGCGCACACAACTTTGGTTGAACACAATTGAAATGTTGTCTTTCACGTTTTAAAATGCGAAACAATTTGCAGTTTCACAGCCGCAGTGCCGCGCCGCGCGTCACGTTCATGGAGCACACCTGCGACAGCAGGAAGGTGTTGAAATAGATGAAGGGACACACAACTGCAGCGCATGCAGGATGCGAGGGCTGCCCTATGTCCATTGTAACCCCCTCCCCTCTCCTTTCGCTCATTGTCAAACGGATTGAATTCGCGAAAACGCTCCACGGCGATCGCGCGCATGCATATTATTACCCAAGTGGCGAGAGCCCCCCGCGCCGCTCCAGCCCGCTCCGGTCGACCGCCTACCGGAAGCCGGAGCGCGCTGCTGAGCTGACTGGGCAGCGGCGGTCGGCCCTGCCCGGCCCGGACGAGACGGGCGAAAGGAAACATTTAATCTGATTCGTTTGTTATGCCAGCGTAGGAGGAGGAGTGGAAGGAGAAGGAAGGGGTATTACGTGTTAACATTTAAAAAAAATCATTA